CATGAAAATACCTTAAAACAGAAAGAAAAAGAAAGAGCTCTGTGTGTATGCATTTTCTTCGTCACTCGGGGGGGGGGGGGGGGAGGGGGCGTGAATTTGCACAATGTTAGTGCCAAGAGAAGAAAGGGGTGCGGGAAGGCAAAATAGGGGTGTGGGCGTGAATTTGCAGCATGTTAGTGTCAAGCAGAGTTGTAATGATTCGAGTCAATGACTCGACTCGAGTCCGACTCGAGTCACATTTTGGCGACTCGACTCGACTCGAGTCCCGAAGGGTAAATGACTCGACTCGACTCGAGTCACTGCGAGCAAATGACTCGACTCGACTCGAGTCCCTCATCAGAATGACTCGACTCGACTCGAGGAAGGCTAATAAGACTCGAGTCCCAAAATAAAAGCAAAACTTACTTGCGAAAAATATTTGCAATGACTTACGCTGCGCCATTCGCGTTGCTAGTTTTTGTTCACGTCACGTTAATGTTCGCGAATAATGTACGTTTATATACAGCGGCAGTCTGTTTCCTTCCTCCATAATGAAACAACAAACATACACCGTGTCGCGGACTCCCACCTTGTGGTTCTATAGCATGTAATGCTAGACCCGGAACCAGACTTAAAACGCATTTCTCAATCCGTGGTTTCATCTTTGGTTTCGGGCGATTTTGAAGTTCTTGGTGGAACGCTGGCTAAATTCATGTCCCGATTTCACACACAAAAATGGATACGGACGGGCCCACCTTTAAATAATCAAAAACAGTTTTGTATAATGCAATTACACTGTTAAAAAAATGTCGGTTCATTAACAGTTGATTCTATTGTCAATTGGCATTACAGGAGTTACTGTTTTTGCACAGTATATTCTACTGTTTCTTTTTTCTCTGTACATTAACAGCAGATTCTACTTTATTTGACATTGTTCAATTACAGGGGTTTCTTCTGTTTTGCAACAGATGATTAAGTGTTGTCGTTTTGTAACCTAACAGCATATTCGCTGTTTTTTTGTTCCTAAACAACTCTCTTTGCTGAACAACAGGTTGTTTTTGTTTAAACTTGGTGATTATTTGATGGGGGCCGATGAACGACAAAGTGTTCATGTTTGTATCGAGGATTGCGAATGACAGGTCCTGTGTGAGCCTCAGTACACAGATATTCTCGTATAATGAACGTACTTCACATGCAGATACTTCACGTCATGTAATGGCGGTGCTATCGATAAAACCCATGAAGGTTCGAATGTAGATACTTGCACGTTGGCTTACGGCGAGTCATGCTGCAATGACAACCAGGAAACTTTCAAATGTGTTGTTGACAATCAGGCTTACAAACTGAAACCGCTTCTATATGGCGCTTCTCCTTGAGAGTAATAGTCATTTACAATACAAAATACAAACATGTAAGCAGAAACGGATAAGTAACTTTGCTCCAAGATACAGCATACTTTATGTCTTTGGATTTCCGTAATAGACTGGTGCCTTGTATTCTTTCTCTCTTGTGTTTGTTGCTTTTTATTGTAATTAAGTGTTCAAATATTTGTGACTCGAATTGACTTGAGCTAAATACGTGACTCGACTCGACTCGACCACACTCTGTGACTCGACTCGACTCGACTCGACCTTGTTGACCTAATGACTCGACTCGACTCGAGTCACTTCTTTAAAATGACTCGACTCGACTCGAGTCACAAAAATCAGTGACTCGTTACAACTCTGGTGTCAAGAGAAGAATAATCATTCGTAAATATGAATAATTAATTAGCCATAATTACAGAACCCTTTGCCCTATAATCATGAAATTTCTTGGGTATATTTATGAAGAATTGCTCTATGCATTTTCTTCGTCAATCGGGGGGTGCAGCATGTTAGTGCCAAGAGAAAAAAGGGGTGCGAAAAGGCAAAATAGGGGTGCGGGCGTGAATTTGCAGCATGTTAGTGTCAAGAGAAGAATATTTTTTTCGTAAATATGAATTATTAATTAGCAATAATTCCACAACCCTTTTGCCCTATAACCATGACATTTCTTGGGTATATTTATGAAGAATTGCTCTATGCATTTTCTTCGTCACTCGGGGGGGGGGGGGGGGCGCGAATTTGCAGCATGTTAGTGCCAAGAGAAGAAAGGGACGCGGGAAGGCAAAATAGGGGTGCGGGCGTGAATTTGCAGCATGTTAGTGCCAAGAGATGAAAGGGGTGCGGAAAGGCAATAGAGGGGTGCGGACGTGAATATGCAGCATGTTAGTGCCAAGAGAAGAATAATCATTCGTACATATGAATAATAAATTAGCCATAATTCCAGAACCCTTTGCCCTATAATCATGATTTTTCTTGGGTATATTTATGAAGAGTTGCTGTATGCATTTTCTTCGTCACTCGGGGGGGGGGGGGGGGCGTGAATTCGCAGCATGTTAGTGCCAAAAGAAGAATAATCATTCGTAAATATGAATTATTAATTAGCAATAATTCCACAACCCTTTTGCCCTATAACCATGACATTTCTTGGGTATATTTATGAAGAGTTGCTCAATGCATTTTCTTCGTCACTCGGGGGGGGGGGGGCGAATTTGCAGCATGTTAGTGCCAAGAGATGAAAGGGACGCGGGAAGGCAAAATAGGGGTGCGGGCGTGAATTTGCAGCATGTTAGTGCCAAGAGAAGAATAATCATTCGTACAGAGGAATCCGCCCGGCTGTGAAATGGTCAAAATAACCAGGCCCCTTTAGGGTAAACCAAAGACTGCAAAAGAGGGATGCGGGCGCAAATTGGCAGCATGTTAGTGCCAAGAGAAAAGAAATTGCGAGAAGGCAAAAGAGGGGTGCGGGTGTGAATTTGCAGCATGTTAGTGCCAAGAGAAGAATAATCATTCGTACATATGAATAATTAATTAGCGAAAATTCCAGAACCCTTCGCCCTATAATCATGATTTTTCTTGGGTATATTTTTGAAGAGTTGCTCCATGCATTTCCGTCGTCACTCGGCGGGGGGGGGGGGGGGCGTGAATTTGCAGCATGTGTGCCAAGAGAAGAAAGGGGTGCGGAAAGGCAAAAGAGGGGTGCGGGCGTAAATTTGGAGCATGTTAGTGACAAGAGAAGAATAATCATTCGTACATATGAATAATTAATTAGCCATAATTCCAGAACTCCTTGCCCTATAATCATGAAATTTCTTGGGTATATTTATGAAGAGTTGTTCTATGCATTTTCTTCGTCATTCGGGGGGGGGGGGGAAGGGGCGTGAATTTGCAGCATGTTAGTGCCTAGAGAAGAAAGGGGTGCGGGAAGGCAAAATAGGGGTGCGGGCGTGAATTTGCAGCATGGTAGTGCCAAGAGAAGAAAGGGGAATCCGCCCCCGGCTGTGAGATGGTCAAAATAACCCGGCCCCTTTAGGGTAAACCAAAGACTGCAAAAGAGGGATGCGGGTGATAATTCGCAGCATGTTAGTGCCAAGAGAAAAGAAATTGCGAGAAGGCAAAAAAGGGGTGCGGGTGTGAATTTGCAGCATGTTAGTGCCAAGAGAAGAATAATCATTCGTACATACGAATAATTAATTAGCCATAATTCCAGAACCCTTTCCCCTATAACAATGAAATTTCTTGGGTATTTATGAAGAGTGCCCTATGCATTTTCTTCGTCACTCGGGGGGGGGGGGGGGCGTGAATTTGCAGCATGTTAGTGCCAAAAGAAGAAAGGGGAATCCGCCCCGGCTGAACAATGTTACCAAATGGGCAAATAATTGTTATTTAAAGATTTGGTCAATTAAAAGTGTCAGTCATGCGTAATGCGCTTGTATGTATTTAGTGTATTTTGTACACTCCATTTTGCAACCTTTAATCATCTTAAAGTTACAATTATTCCTTAAAATATAGCATAAACAGTCATTTTACTCTTCTCTTCTCTGTATTGTTTTAGTGTTAATTTGTTGTTAACAGGTATAATGAATCTAATGCGTAATGTCAGCCACGGTAATGTCAGTCACAGAGGTTTATTTGCATATTAAAAGAAATCATGAAAGTTTTGCACATTTACTACATGTGTTGGTTACCCTATAAGCTAAAATGCTCGTATGGATTTAAATACGTAGAAATTTTAACTTGAAAAGAAATTTGAAAAACATGTTTGACATTTTTGGTTGCATCGCTTTTTGTAATGTCAGTCACGACAGCAAACTACCACTCTAATTGGAAAAACTGAACATGAAATTTCAAATTTTCAATACCGTATTGTGTATTCAGGTTCCAGTAACTCCCATGCCAAACAATGTTTCAGTTGGCTTTAATTGTTAACACATAAGAGCTGATTTGATATTCAAAATTAGTAAAAATGTAATGTCAGTGACGGTCTTAGGCTTAGTGTAATGTCGTCACAAAACGATGCTTTTTCCCATAAAAGCATTCATGATAGCAATAAAAATCTGCCCTTCATTGTTTTCTTAGCACGGGGTCTGGGTATATCAACTTCTGTTGTTGACAGACGAGGCTTTTTTAATTGGGTGTTAATTTGTTTTATATTAACAGGCATATTCATTCAAAAATTCATGATTTTTTTCCCCCATCTTACTACAAGTTCATGCGTTAGTAACCCTATTAGCTCTAATGTTCTAATGGATTTTGATCTGCAGCACTTTTAACCTGAAGAGAAATTTTAAAAACATGTTTGACATTTTTAGGTTGCATCGCTTTTTTTTTTTAAAAAGTTGTCAGTCACGGCACCAGTCAGGGCTCTGGAGTGCTCTGAAACGTGCAAAACTAAATCAGGCCCACTTTACTCACACTTTAGCCAGCAAATTTCTCCAAAAATTCCACTGGGGCAAAGAAAATGTCCTCAGTATTTCACCAACCAAGTTTGCAGACTCAATTAAATTTTTAAAGGAGACTTTTCTTTAATATTTTGCACATGAGAGGGAAGTCAAGTGATTTCAAAATGGGGCTAAATACTAGACTGGTATACATGTTCAACCATGGTCCAACTATTTGAAAAGACTGACCTCTTCATTCAGAGTCAATAGTCTGGTGGCTTGACTATGGAGAAATGTGAAGTAAATTGAGTTCCCGCTAGTTCCCGTTTTGGGACTCTCATACACAGTATTGAGAGTCCCAAATTTTCGTGACTATCACGGCACTAAACAACCCCCTAAGTCAAAAAAGCTAACCATGAAATTTCAAAGATTCAATACTGTATTGTGTATTTAGGTCCTAGTAACCCCTTTGCCAAACATGGTTCAGTTGGCTGTAATTGTTTAGACATTAGAGCTGATTTGATACGTAATGTTAGTCACGGTGGAATTGCCCAGATAATGGAGACATTAAATCCTGTAGCTTATGTAGGTAATCTCGCCGTCGGTTGAATATTCTCTCCCAGGACTTGTCTGCACGGTGGACATGTTCATGTGAACTCCAGTTCTCTTTATCAGTGAGCACTACATTTCAGCATATTCCTGTTTAGAGTTTCGTTCTCCAAGTTTCCGTACAACCATGTCTGTCTAATATATTAAAGTGCAAGCAGCAAACCTTTGTCCAGAAATAGAAGCAAATAATTATAAGGTTTCAACCGTACAAAGTGTACGTTACATTAACATATTAAGATAGCACGCACATGCATGGCCTTGTGCAGGGCCAGGGCCCTGACCACAGTTTCCATACATACACTTTGTTACGCAACGTTACGTAAATCTCACTGATAGCTGAGCTAGGCAAGGCCACTGGGCCGATGACCACCAGTGATTGTATGCTCTCTCATTGGTTGTATCTGTCAGTGCACAAACCATCGGCGCTGTTGTCTTATTGGCTCATTCTGGTTTGTACACGAACCATCGGTATTGATGGTTCGTCAGGTCCGGGACCTGCATGCGCTCAATCTAGTGACGTGGCTAGATTGTGCTCAGGTCGCTCGATCGAGCGATGATGACGTCAATTACATCACGAATGATGGCGATGAGTCATTGTTTGGTTGGTTTTTTTAAAGCTCCTACCTCCACTGAACGGCCGGGATCGGAAATGGCCGCCAACGCAGCAAATGTTAGACTGGTTCCTAGTCCTCCAAGTATCTGCTGCACACTGCAAAAATCAATTTACGAAAGAAATAGCTTTGTCTAAGCTTTTTAAAGTATGTAAAAGGTTCTGATAACTGTCTTTATCATGATTTTCTTGTGCAAATTGCATGATTTTGTGTGAGTTTTCCCAGAATAGCTGTCTAGAGTGGGTTTAGACTAGCTGCCAGTCCCTCTTTGTCTCATTCCATTTTTGCTCTTCACGTAGTCTCCTCCTTTTGGCCAGTTGTTCTGGTACATATGCTGCCTGCTGGAGTATTTGTTTCTAAATCTGTTTAAAGCAGTATCCAGCCTTCTTCTTATGATAATCATCATTGTTTTTATTTGACTCAACATGCTAAGTGGAATCATTGTCACCCCAGAGCCTGTATCTAATTCCATTTCTACAAGTCTACCTTCGATACGCATCTTAACCATAATGGCATCATAATTTCTCTGTTCGTCCTTACGCTTACTACTATTACAAGCGTTACCATGGCTACTCTTACTACTACTCACTTTTAACACTGTATAATCATCATCGACTTCGGAGTCGCTACTGGTACTACGTACTTGGCTCACTATATTTACCGTCTTTGGCCTACTGTTCTTTGTTTGTCCCACTCTGTCCTTTCGTGGCCTTGCTGGTGCCCTTTGGAACTTGTCCGGTCCTTGTCTGTCTTGGTCGTGCTTTGGAGGTTCTCTTTCAAAGTCCCGACGGCTTGAATTCCTGTTCTCTCTGCGGTCTGTCCTGCCCGTGAAACCGCTGGAGTTGCACTTCCTTGCGATGTGTCCGATGCGATGGCACCTGGTTGCATTTAGTCTCTTTGAACCAATATTGGTCCGGATGATGCGAACTCCTTCCGCACCTGAAACATTGGCCAGATCCAGTCTGTCCACCCCTGCGTGGCTTGAAGTTTTGGCGAACTGCGTTGACTGATGTCTTGCTTTTCACTGGGTTTGACATGTCGTCTCTCATACTCCGTGCCTCAGCGAAAGTCACCTCTCTTGATTGTGCAAAGTCCACTGCTTCCACAAATGTAAGTGCAGGTTTGTCTCTGGCTTTTTCCATGAGCTTGAGTGATGTGGACTCACTGCGCAGTCCGCTGATGAATCTGTCTCTCAAATTTTCGTCGAGGTTGTCGCCGTAGTTGCAATGGAGACTCAGATGTTTGAGGGCTACCACGTAATCTGCTATGCTTTCCGATGACATCTGGTCCCTCTTAATAAGCTTGCGTCTCTCCGCTACTATGATCGGTGGAGCCTTCAAATGCTTCCGCAGTATTTTTTTCAGTTCCCCGTACGATAATGTGCTGGGTTTGCTTGGCGCCACGAGCTCCCGAACAACGTTGTAATAGTGCGGCCCTATCGAGTGGAGAAACATTGCTGCCACCCGTGGGGTGCTTTGACTCGGGTCGAGCCCGTGCGCCTGTAAGAAGAGCTCAAAACGTTCCACGTAACAGTCCCAATCTTCGTCTTTATCGTAGTGAGACGAAAAAGGGGGGAGAAAAGTGCTCCTTTCCATCGGCAATTGCGCATGGCTGTCCTCATTCGCCATCCTCGTCGCCAATTTGTCGTGTATTTAACACGAAACGTGGGTGAAATGATGAACAATTGCGAGACGACTTGTTGTGGTGGAACGGTTATGGCGGACAGTTTATTCAGTACGACTCAACGTCCGTATGTACAATGCATACAACTCATACACACCGTGCGTGCAAGCACGAGTTGACCTATGACCCTGTTACTACACAAGTATACACATTTGGGTATATGGAACGCCTTATCTAACAATAATACACTACAGTATGCTGTATGGTACCCAACCAACAGTTTCCATTGCTAGCTCACGTCACAGATAAGAAGATGTGAAACTTCGGTCTTATAACTGGTTTGGCTTCGGGTCTAGATTTTGTTGTTCGCTGATCGCTGACAACGTTAAAACCTACACTGTAAAAAATTGCGTTATTATAACAGTTGTTTTTCAGTTGAAATTTCTGTAAATTTACAGTAGATGTTACTGTTTTCGGATTTTTCTGTAAATCTACAAATGTGTTACTGCCTACGTACAGTTTTCTCCATTTCTCTGTTTGGTTACGGTATATTCGCTGTTAAACTAAAATTCTGTGGACGCACAAGGAACATCATGTTTTGAACAAGCCCCCGTTCTGACTCTGTTAGAACACAAACAAATTTGTAGAGTTACAGAAAAATCCGAAAACAGTAACATCTACTGAAAATGTACAGAAATTTCAACAGAAAAACAACTGTTAAATAACGCATTGTTTTTTACAGTGTGACAATAACCATGGCCTTATACAAATGCTGTTGCGTAAGATAGAAGGGCTTTTTTTTAACACTCCACGAACGCCTTAGCTCTAAGTGAATGAGTAAAGTCTACGCGGGACTGAATGACACGTTATTGGTTAAAACTTTCGGACGATTTCATTTATGACGGGGTGCGTTATTTTTTTTCCTAGGAGGGTTAGGGGCAATGTCATGAATAATTCAGTTTTTCCTTTGAATCATTGCAAGACTTAGGTTCTCATTCTATTTTCCCCTTAATTTAAAATTATCTCAGTGATAAATTTGGAGAAGAAAAGTAGCTGATGAAAATGAGCAGCGACGACGTGGATTCGAACCAGGGATCTTTGTATCCATAGCTCATCTCGCTATCCACTAGGCTACTGTGTGGTAGCTCGACGACAACCGTTCTTTAAAATGCTTTAATGTATTGTAACTAGTTGAGTAACTAACAACAATGCTGTTGATGTCATTGTCCGTTCTCATGGATAAACATGAATTATTCATGACATTGCCCCTAACTCTCCTAGGAATAAAAATTACGCTGACGGGGTGCACAGGTATATACAAAATAAAACAATAATGAGCGGAACGCAGTAAACACATGATCGGCGAAAATAATTATATCCTTGTCGGTTGCACTGTAACAGCCCTTCACCGACGATTTGAGCACTGTATACTCAGTGTGTTACCTTTCGAGTGAAAGTTGGAAAAAATCACTTGGGTGGGACTCGAACCCACGACCTCCTGCTTTCTAGTGCAGATGTCTTACCACTTGACCAACGAGCTAACGGGATTGGTTGGCCGGTTCGAATCTGATGTACATAGCAGCGGGTACCGCATAAACTAAATAACTTCATAAATAAGTTTAGTCTGCTTGTTATGTAAAAAAAATCATATTAAAATACGTAAGATGTTGTCTTTTAACCCAATTCATTGATCCAACTTTGTATTTAATATAAAAAAGTCATCAAGCTTGTTGGTTACAATCCATAGGTTGACAAGGAACAAGTCTGCAGATCAAGGTCAATCCCTTTTGTTTCACGTTCTCACGTTCTTGTAGAAGCTGCTGTTTTTCAGTTGAAGAAATGATCGGCTCCCCAATTTATTTGTTTTTATGTAACAAATTACGGTTTTTCAGTGTTATTTCCAAAAAAACATTGGAGAGTTACTTTAATTGACCCCTGGATGGCCTTTGATATTACATGGTCAAAGCAAAGCAATATATCAACAGCCCTAAACCGTTGTTCTCCGTAGCATATGAGTGAACACTCTTTCTACAAAACAAGGGTTTTTCCCATTTTCCCAATAAAGTAATCAGCCTCATTTGACCCTTTGACAACCATTGACATCATAATGTCAACATAACACAGCAGTCCTGTATTTTCAGCAATGTTCTTTTAATTCTTAAACGAATTCAAATGAACCCTAGATGACATTTGACCTTCGATTTCTGAAGAGCTATTATTAACACCCACCCAACGATTACACTTTCGTAGTTAGAAATCCATTAAGTTCTTTACACAAAGGAACAGTTGTTTGGACGCGTCGCATATCCGTCCAAATAATAACCATGCTGTGACACGTGTTCACCCAAACTCTGAACACTCTCGACCTTTCAGACGCATATACATTGTACATGTGTGTGTAAACGTGTACATTTTGTACTCGGACTGTACAGGATAGGAATAAATGAGCCGCTGTCTAAGAACTTGTTATCCATCGGGCCAATTCCCGATCACCTGTTGCTGCTGTATAGGTTCTCTGCAGGGTTCCCGGAATTGTTCCTCATTTTATCTTTTGCGACTTTTATTACGAATATTATTATTATTATTATTAATCATTTCTGGCGAAAATCTGTGCCCGCGAGTGGGGAGTGGGGGGGGGGGGGGAGACACCAAAATCCGAAAGTTGTCTAGTCGTGGAAATTCCAAAATAATGCACCTGTTTTGAACCCCAGTTGGACCAAAAACTACGAGTCCCGTTTTGGTCCAACGGGGGGTCGGTTTATAACTCTCTTTCTGGTTAATTTCAGTCAAAATCGTTCTGAAAAGAGCAGACACTTGCTAATTCTTTACTATTTGCCAACTTCATTTTCAATTCCAAGCCACACAAGGCATAAAAAACTGCTCCTAAAAGGATGGTGGTAAGTGTTATCCTTACACCTCGCCTTGTGCGGGAGTTTTTAAGAAAATATATTGAATTATTCTTTTTCAAACATCCGTTTAGAACTGGGTATTCAAACTATCCCTGGATAGAATTTCCGCAAAAATGCATTTTTGTCTTATAGTAAATTTCCCCTGAACAAATATTAACCATTTTAATCACTCACAACATGCCAAAATCTATTTAAAAAAAATGTTTTTGTAGGGGTTCGACGGCAATCTTCATGGGAATTTTTGTTTGGTCCAAGGGGGTTCAAAAATGCCTTAAACCCTTTTTGTCTTACTTCCCGGGACTTGGCAGTCTTTTGCGGTTTTTTAATAAAACGATGAGACAATTATTGATAACTTTACACTTTTCACATTTCTTTTTTGATAGAGGATGTCGTTTTATAAACTCAAGAAGTTCGGAATTTGGTCCAAGCGTGGCTGCATCAGGCGTGGGATATTTTTAATGTATACTTATTTTTCGCTTGTTTCGGTCAATGAGACCTTTCTATCTGGAATATATACAACGAAATAAGCAGGCACCTTGTTTCCAATGTTCCGAAAGCCTACTTTATCATTTTTCATTAAAATTATGGGGTTTTCTAATAACACAGGTCGACAGGTCCCTCTGGAGAGAGCAAGCTGTAGCCTATGCAACTTCTCGACTAGAGAGGGCCCACTTTTGATTCAAGGGTGACAGCTCGCTATTTCCCAACTGTCGTTGCTAGGGTCCCACGTACAATGTCATTAATTAATGAACACAAGAGCAGTTATGGCATTTTCCTGTTTTTATTTCATAAAACTATAGTCAGATTACAGCACATATTTTTAAAAATACATTCAGTTTTTGGGTAAAATTGTGTTGTTTAAATGTTTACTTTTCTCCACAAAACTCAAGTGCATACGTTGTGTACTGCACTTTTGGTCCAAAGGGGCCAAATTTTCAAACAATGCTTTTTCCCCTCTGTCATTGGCTCTTTACATTTAAAGTCCCATTTTTTAAAAACTTTATATGCACATCAATAATATTGGACGGTTCAAGGTGAGTGATAAAACGCCTCCACCTTTTATGGTTTTCCCCGCTAAATTGACCCTTGTACGGCGTAATTTCACGTACAAGGTCACTTAACCTAGTTATTTACAAGGTATTACAGGAATCTCCCATGTAATTCCCATGGGAAATTTTCCCATGGGACCCCATGGGAATTGCATGGTGAATTGGACACCGTGTAGCATGGGATTTTTTTCCATGAGAGTTTTCCCACTGGCTTTTTCCCATGAGAAATTTTGTATGTTTTTTTCCCATGTATGGTTTCCTTTCATTTCTCAAAGATTAATTGCTTAATACATGTTAAACCTGTGTGTTAAGTGCTATTCACTGATTAGGTAAAGCACATCACGGAACTCCGATGGGGGTTGATCCACGTTAAAGTGGCTTATGCACTCAATGACCAAAGACCACATTATTGCTCCCATACCATTTGTCAAGTTGTACCATATTATCACAGTGTTCCTATTTTATTTTCTCATAAACGTTTCCAACCATAATAACAAATGAATCAATATTATTCAAAGTTTGAATGACACATTTTCCACATAAAAAATACTCTATGTATCATTTAACTTCACATATCAACAAAATATTCAAAAATTTGCAATTACAACACTCGTTATTGTAAGCGATTCTCACAAAAATGTACCATGGTGTTTCCATGGTGTCCCATGGTTATTATCCCATTGTGTTGAATTGGTGAAAATCCACAGGAGTTTCCCATGGTCAGCATAACAAATAGAATTCTTGATAACCTCTATGACCACAAGTGAAATATTTTAATTGAATTTAAATTTACAGCTAGGCGAATAAGTAAATAAATCAAAGAAAGGTTTGCCTATAACTTGGGAGTGCAATTGGGTCTATGATGGTTTTCCATGGCATATGCATGTTCTCCAGTATAACCCAGCAGTGTCCCCGTGCTGCCTTTTAAATCTCAATGGTGTTCCCATTGTGTCCATAATTTATATCACCCACATTATGGTGTTCCCATGGCGTCCAAATCCTCATGGTGTACCCATGTGTCTAAAATCCCCATGGTGTTCCCATGGTGTCCATAAAATCGCCATGGGGTTTCCATGGTGTTCCCATGGTGTCCATAAATTCCCATGGTGTTCCCATGGTGTTCATTAATTCCACATGGTGTTCCCATAATGTCCATAAAATCCCCATGGTGTTCCAAATGGTGTCCGTAAAATCCCCATTGTGTTCCCATGGAGCTCATAAATCCCCATGGTGTTCCCATGGTGTTCCCATGAAGCTCATAAAATCCCCGTGGTGTTCCCCATGTTGT